AAACGATCCCATAGCGTCCACTCCTTACCATAATACGAATTCTTTGCGGCAGGCATGGGCTCTGAGAATGCTATGAAAGGTAATGCCAAGTTTGCAAAGGCATTTTTAAATTTATCCATTTCCCTATGTCTGTAAAGGCAATAACATATTAATATTTTAAAATCGACACTCTGTTTTGATTTTTGTTACCCTATAATCAGTTTCATAACCTCGAGAACAGCCAAGCCAGAGACGAGTGATGTAGTTGTGGCAATAGCTGGAATGATTTTTCCAGCGATTAATTTAGACTTGTGTCGATCAGCTGGAGGAATCTTATAATTGGCAGCACGCAAATTAGATGCTGCAACTATAAAGTCCATATGGAAATTATTATCATCGTCCTTTTCGAATTCCAATGGTTTAACCACCAGCGGAGTTTTGCTTTCACGCAGAGCCTTCAATTCAGTTAAAATTTTGTTTACGCGATCTTGGTCAACATCTGAGTTGTCGAAATTGTTAGCAGCTGCAGCAGCAGCACTTTCGTTGGTTTCAATTTTTACACCAGAACGTGGTTTGAACTCAGCAACCTATAAAATATGAATTAAATTAAAACATGTACAGTTTGATGAAAATAAATATTAGTTATTTATTAAAAAAATATATTTATTTTTGCTTACCTTGACTTCCTTAACAAGGTTTGCTACTTGCTGCCTATTACGCACTTGCTCAATCCCGTACATCTCTGCCCGTAAATTCGCCGCTGCATATATGTAGTCTAAATGCAGGTCGTCGTTAATATCGAAAAGCAATGGTTGGGGACAACGCTTCGGGCCAGACCAAAATGGTTGCCCACTAGACGTTATTTGATCTGGTGGGAAATTATATAGCAATTGTTTGATTTGATTTGCATAGTGCTCTTCCCAGTGATTCCTAGCCCATTTCACGCAATCCAAGAAGTTCGTAGACCTTTCATCTACTAGGGCTTTCTAAATTTTTATTACAAAACAGTTAGTAAGTTTTTTTATTTACGTACTTTTCAATCTTACCTTAACAGATTCTAAGATTTCAAGCGGCCGAATACCTTGCAGTTTAATGATGCGTTCAATGAAATTTGGATCTGATAAGTATTGTGCAGCATTTTCCGGAGACTGTGTAAACACGCCTTCAAACATATCGCGCGCCCATTGTAACGTGTGTTCAATTGCATTAGGAAAGTTCTTTAGTGTGCAAATAGGGATGCTCTTCTCTGGAGGATCTTGCGATGAACTATACGATTCAGTCAAAAACGGTACAATGACTTGCACGTTGCCCATTGTGCCAAGAGTACCGGACTCCACCAAGGGCAAACGATTAAATACACATTTGCGATCCATATATATACGAGCGTCCACGTTATCTAATGCATTAGCTACACCATTTAACTTTCCGAAAAATTCTTCCGAAAATACTTTTTCTGTTTCGGGTCCAACACGCAACTCATAAGCAGTGACTTTGATTTCCGGATTCATCTTTTTAATGGCATTTGCAGCAGTTTTCGCCTTTGGCTTCTGTACATCATGCGGCCGAAACAGAAATTGGCGGTTCAAATTCGACTTTTCAATTAAATCCATATCGGTTATAACAATTTCTCCATCACGGGCACCAACTCCAATCATTGCGAAATTTTTGAGCAACTCGCAACCAATAGCTCCAGCTCCAACAATAAAATATCTAAAAGAAAAAAATTAATATTTTCCAAAAATAAAAATTTATATCTCGCACTTTGCGTCACCCAATTTTTCTTGGAAAGTCTTTCCAAAAATGGCGATTTGTGCGTCGTAACGCGAACCTATCGGCTGAGCGTCTTCTTCCTCAACACCATTAGTGGGCAGACACTCAATAGCATCATAATACAACCATTGATATATGGGTGTGAATTTCCCCGTGCATGCCTTTAGAACTTCTTGTGCAACAAATCCGCCAATTGCTGCGTCTATAGGACTGGTGTTGCCAGAACATGTCTTAGCAAATAACAAAACTACGTTATCATTAATTTCTGCGTTGACAGATTTGCACATTTGTAGAAATGTTTGCGCATCTTCCTCATTCCATGGGCGCGGTGGCTTTCCAACTTGCTCAATATATTTGTGTAAGGCAGAGAAAGCAATATGTAAAGAAGTGGGATGGTCAAATTTTGCAAAGTCTGATACTAAGAACTCAGGTTCTTTTTCAGCTTCTTCAAGGGATTTGAAATTCACAACTTTGGGCATTTTTACTTGAGTGGCAATACCACCAGAAACGTATTCACTACATTTACTTGTGTCACCAATGCTAAATGTATAAGGACCCAATACACTGATTTTAATCGGATCGCAGCCATTTAACTCCGTCATACCTTGAACTTCGCTGAAGGTCACATAATCACCATCATTCAAGCCATGACGAGTTTCATCCAAACAAGTTATCACTCCTTGAGAATCATGAGTAATACTTGCTATCATGGTGGATATGGGCTGTGCGCCATCCTGATCGTAAATCGTGAAATTCTCTCCAAAGTCACAGAAAATTTTCGCGAAAAGTCCATGCGTTTCGGCTATGATCAATGCTATACCATTTTCGTGAGCAAACTTTGCAATGCGATGTTGTTCATTACTATCAGAATCTGTCAGTACAATAACACGGAACTGCTGCAAAAAATCTTCGGTTAAATCGCCAGTATATGCAGTGGTCCGAACATAATTGTTCAACTCAGCTAATTGGTTACAAGAAGCTTCTGCACGATTGCGCCCTACTTCCGATTCACTGAGGTAAAATTGCGAAGATAAATCACGAATCTGTAGAAAATATGAAAAAAATTTTATATTCATTATTTTAATTAGTTTTTAGGGATGAATAATAAATATATATACATACATCTACGCATTTATGTACATTCATATTTAAAACTTTGCGGACATAAACTTAAAAACAACCTGAACAAAATTAATTCTTATAAGTTTACTTTGATGAAGGATATTCTGTACCTTCACAATGAAGGAATGACATGACACGATTCCGATTACTAAAAAATAAATATCGGTATAAATGGAGTTTGTGCTAATAGTGCAGATTCTACAGAGGATAAATATGCTAAAATAATGTGCTAACACTTATATTTTTATATGTTATATATTAAATATAAACAGGAAACTATCCATATGCATTGAACGATTGGTTATACTCATTTTTCCATCAATAGAACTTTTTTCACATATCATCATGAGGTATATCGGGGAGAGTATACACAAATTTTTTCGGAATTTTTTGATGACATCTGACGGAGAAATGGTTGTGTGAATAAGATGTGTTTTTTTACTGGCTGACACGATTTCTCATGTTTGGATCATCTGAAACACAAGAACCCAATTTAAACTTAAAAAGTACGTGAATATATGTATGTATGTCCCCACTAGAATCATGAAAAAATGCTGATAAATAAAAATAGTAATTAACGTTTTTTTCTTTTTTTAATTTTCCACTTGTTTTTTTTTACATAAATTTTGTCATAACACTTTCAATAAATTTGAATATTTAAAAAAAAAATTAAGCAAATCGGTTGAGAAGTTCGACCGAAATCATGTCCGCCAGCTTTAAAAAGTTTGTTTTGAGAAAAAGGCGTAATAAGTTTGAGGTGTGCACTCCGAGCGCTCCGAACGTCGAGCGGTATTATAATTTTTGGACCTTTTTCGAAACCTTCCAATGGTAAAGTGGGTTTCTACATTAATTTTAAGGGTATAAGGGGACAGAAAAGGCAAAAAAAAACGAATATTTGAAAAAAGATTACCCTACTGACCCTTTAGGCATGATACCGATTACTTTGGCGGAGGGGTAAAAAAATCGAAAAAAATAACTTTTATTTTTTAAAATATTCACGATTAAAAGTTCAAAAATTTGCACTAATAACACATGATATTACTCTATCTTTCACTAAATTTATTGACGTTTATCATCCTGTATATTTAAATATAAACTCTAAATATTGAAATAAGTTCACATTTTAATTTTATTTTTAATATTTTACCCAAAATTATTAATTTAAAAATCACTTAGCACACTCGTCGTTGCAAAGGTTAGATTGCTTACAATTAAACACCAAATATGTAGGATATTGACGATTTTTCTTTGTTTGTTTTTTGCGATTCTTTTTTCTACATTAAATACAATAAAAAATACTATACCAGACTATACTTCACAGGATCATTTCTGTAGTCAGTCTTCATTTACTTTCTTTAAAAAATACGGCATAGCATCCCCGGATTTCGGGGATAAAATGGATATCACTGGAAAGGTGACGTTCTCCAGATCACGAAAATATATATATAGTTGCCGCTGACTTATAGTTTTGAAGATATTTGCATTTAAAGTTAAAAAATTGTCAACTTTTAAATTGATAATTTGTAAATTGTGAATAACTTTTGTCAAACAAATTAATATACAAATACGTTATAGTGAAGTGTTAGTAAGTGAAAAGTGCATAATATAAGTGAAAAAGTTAAATTTTAACAAACAAATAACATTAACAAACAAATAACATTGTTCCCTTTTATCTCCACTGTCTAAAATACTTAGGGTTAGTTTCTGCAGTTTCATGTGTTGAATACAATACTCGCGACAGACTGCAAACGACATCTGTCAAATATTAAAATACACACGTTCTTATGGACGGACCTATTTTGACAGCTGAACGACTACACGACTGCAAGCCGACAGTTGTCGTTCTCGCTAACTTCAATTTAATCCTATATTTGCCAACGACAGTAGAGTGGACAGTAGAATGGAGGATAGAGAGATGAGGAAGAGTGGTGATGCCACTAATATGTAAAATTACTCAAACCTCTAACAAACCTGACGATATTTTACAAATAAAAGCATAAAATAGCTGTTACATCGTTTATAATAACAATTGATAATTTAAAAGAAATAAATTTACCTATTTAGGTACTTATTTTTTGCTTAAAAATTTCACTTTGAACAAAATATTAAACTTTCATTGAAGTGCAAGGTATTAGTATGGCCACAACGAAATTGTGTACATGCAAAATGGACAACTGCGTTGTTTTGTGTACACGCCGGCCATTGCTATGTTGCTGCTCTCTCACAAACGTTCATGTAGAAGGATTCACAACGCCATTGTCAATTCACTGTATTGCTGCTGCAGTCTGTCGCGAGCATTGTGTTCCGCACATTACTCGGTAATATCACATCAGCTGTTTGTTTATTGTTCGTTGCTTTATGAATTTTTAACGGAAAAATAAGTCTGGTGTTCGTTACTTTATACATTTTTAAACGGTGAAAATAAATTTGGTGCTCACTTCGTGAATTAGGAAAAATTTTGCAAAAGTAAGTATATCTTCACCAAATAGTTGCTTTTTATTTCATTAAATACTTATGTATTTTCAGTGGAACCTCAAAAGGAAATACGCTGGAGGGCAAAGTCTAAAAAAAAATTGAGGAAGAAAACCATTTGGTTCTAGAATATTTACTAGAAAATGGGGAAATTGAAGTAGTTCTTTATACAATTAGCTTTAACTAAACACTTTAATGTGTCTTTTTATAGAAACCAACCGCCCAATTGTACTACTAAAAATTAATTGAAACAAATATCGATGCGACTATGGACATGTTACGCTGGAAGGTCCGGTACCGGAAGCAGATGTATAATAAAGCTGACGATTGGCGCAAATCGACAGGGGCCGCAATAGGCGTTGGTGATGAAGTTTTCTCAATAAAAGGTAAATGCGGCTTTAATGTTAAGTGAAACTTTTTTGGTTTGGTTTGGTTAGCAAAACTTTCACAAATGTGTCCGAATTATGAAAGGTTTTCGGTTCTATTTGGGGGTAAATCCGAAGCCAATTGTATTGTAAGTTGGAGCAATAAGACAGACTAACAATGATTGCACTAAGGTACAAATATAATATATAACAATTTTATATGTTTTATGTAATAATTTTTAAGAATGTACAATTGTATCTAAATGTGATATCTTGAAGTGATACAACTTTTTATAAACATGAAAAATGATTCTTTGATTTAATTATAATTTGTAATTTAATTAAACAGTATTTGGAAACATATAAGATGATATAACGATTGCCTTTTTAATTCAAAGCTATTTGAGATTGATTATTCCACTACTTCTTCATAAATGCCTTCATTTGTACTCTCGTTGATTTTCTTATTTTCACTGTTATCAAGTAGTTTTTTGGGAAGAATACAGCATACTAGTATTAATTCGTTACAGTATTTTTGACTACTTTTATTTCGAATTCGAATCCTGAGCTCTTTTAAAAAATCTCTATTTTAATAAGCCGAAACAGTGTTCAATTCTTACACAGTATTCGCTATGCTGTTTGTTAATTTTTTTTTTCTTTTAGGTAGTTCAAATTGTGGAGAGTTGCTTCTGTAAGGCGTTATAATAATGTTATTGAGGGCGTAAGCAGAGTCTCCAGCAATCCACTCCTGTCCTGAAAAGAATCTTGACTGATATACCGTCAACTCTGTTAGTGAACAGTTTTTAAATATTTTTGCATCGTTAGTAGAGCATTTGAGCTTTAATTACATACATATATATAATTTCTGGAAAAGAACGCTTCATGATTTTTTATTGGGGATCCGGCGAGTTGTATTTCAGTGCCATCCACGTAACCTACACAAAATGGTAGTTCGTTGAGTATTATCTGGCCAATATACATATATACATATAAATGAAGTTGTTTTAAAAATGCCTTGAATACCCTAATATAATATGTAATATTTGTTAACGTTCCTACGTCACCACCCCGAAAAGTTTATTTTCTACACCTCGTCAATGGTATCCTCTACCAAATCTCCATCTTCACTGAATATGTCTTGTAATAACTTGAAAGTTAGTTCCATGCTTTAAGTACTTACCAGTAATAAATTTGATCTGCTCCACATAATATTCAATTAAATGACTGACAATTTTTGATTTTGCAATTTGTTCAGACATTTTAACAAAATTGAATCATCTGTTTCGGAATAAAATTTACCATACTACAGAGGTAGAGCAAAAAGGATGTTCACAGTTAAGCCTTTTAACGAAGTATCAACTAACGAATTACCAAATTAACAGGTTTCGGTCTGAATACCCCTATTAAGAAATGAATTTATGAAAAAATATAGTAAACTTGTCAAACAAAGAAAAATAAGAAACTCACACAAAGGTACTGTGAAACTCTCCAGAATAACGCGGCGCACTACACTAATCTCATACCATGAAACAATTTACATATAAACCTTCGCACCACATAAATATCTGTACTTGTTGTACTCAGTGCAAACCGCCTGGAACTTTATATAGTATATTATGCCTGTTTCTTTCTAATGCATTGAACATAGACGTTGGTAACAATGAATCATCTTACCTATCAAACATTTTTATTTTAAGTAAATTTTTTGGACTATATTGTAAAATTAACTGCTATTAGTAATTATTTTACATTTAGAGATAAAATATATTATATTTGCAATGTTAAATAGAAAATAAAGAAATATGTCTGCCGCTCATACTTTCACATACTGTATGTATAACGTATATACATATATGCATATACGCAAATATAAATAATTTTTTTCCTTTTTTGCGATGAATTTTAATACTTTAGAGTATAAAATGTTTAAATATCAAATAAGAAATCGCCAGTATTTAGCTAATTTAGTTCGTACCGGATTCGAAGATAGCAATGAATATGCAAAATATTGAAAATAATCAATACATGTACCCACACAAATCCGAGTTACTTAAATCAAGGTTTTTTTACCACGTAAATAGATAGACCAAAAACGGCGGCAAATCTGATATATGCTTGGAAAACAAATTGTTTCGTTGGTCAGATAACAGGAAAAACTTTATTGATTTTTCCTCCTGTCCAAAGCACATATTATTAATAATTCTTTAGATAATCCAGCCAAAAATATGCTTGCCAGAGGACATTTTTATGTTTTAAAAGTAATTTTTATAATAAATAACAATGCATTAAAATACTTACTGTACAATTTTCCTTATCATGAAGTGTGATCGATTTCACTCCTCCTAAAATTACATTCTTTGCTATCTCAAGACCTAAACCTCCAATACCCGACAGCAAAATGTCTGAATTTGCCATGCGACGCATTGCATCATGACCCAGCACATAGAGTTGGCGCGAGTAAAGCGATTCATCAATGTCAGAAGCGCCGCGCGAACGTGAGTCGTTCGTAGGATTACCACCAGCCATTTGGTTGTTTGCTCCGTGCACTACCTGTGAATTCGTTTTGTTACCGTTTGAGTTATTAACTTTATTGCTTCTATCGCAAATTAACGTTGAAGTCGTTGCAAAATTGTTCACTTGAGAATTTTTTTCTTCCACTTCCACTAAATTCTTCGATTCAGTTTTTTCTTCTGCCACTACACTTTCACATGAAACAGAAACTCCGCTTCGATTACTTTGACCGCTTTCTTTCTTCACTGTCGACAATATACTGTCGCTTCCACTACCACTTTTCTCACCCGTGCAAGTAGAACCGACAGAGTCAACAATATCACCACCACTTAACGAAACCGAATGAGATGGCATGATTACATTCGCCTTTTGTGCCGATTCACCGGCTTTTACAAATGATACGTCAACGTTAGTTTCTTCCACACCACATTCGTTATTTTCGCTATCCTCACCATTGTCCGTGTTGTTTTTATTATTTTTGCCTAGGTTTGAAGCAGCGCCGGTAGACACAAGCAGCTTTCGCTTTTTAGCTGCTGGTGGCTCTGCCTTAGAGTTTTGGTCAGCTGTTGGTGAACTAGAAGACATTGGGCGGCAGACGTTCTCAATACTATAAGCGAGTAAATATTTGCACTTACTAATTGTGCACTATTAAATTAGTTTCTAATAGTTCAACTTTTAATGGATGTCCATGAAGTTTATTTCCTTTAAAGAAGACTGATTTACTATCTTATTGTAGAACTGAACAGCAGTATGAATTATATTTTGGTAGCATACAGCTAACACACAATTTTTATATCTACTATCGTTGATTATGTCTCACAGCAAAGATAAACTTATGTACGATGAAACTATAAAGAAAACAAATCGAGAACATTCTCAATTAATGATGTATGTTTAAACAGTTACTGGTTTCATATATTTTATAGTGGCTTTGGAAGGCAATAAATAATGTATCTACTAGAAAATTTAAAAAATATTCTCTTGCAAAAACAAGCCACATTATTTTAAGAACCTCACATGGCATTTAATGTCTACAAGACACAACAATTTCTGGTTGTCAAACTCCACTCTGCCGCACGTTTTTCTTCCAATGCCATGCAAATAAACATATATAATCAACTCCTGCGCTCATTTACTATTTGATTTCCCATCTGTTACTTATTCATTGGCCAATCAAGCGAGAATATGAAAGGATACCAGTATTTGGTTAAATTTCTTTCACTTATCCAGTAATTATAAGTTCATCTTAATAGGAACTAAATAAGAACACTCACTATGAATTTTGCAATTCGTAATGCCTAAAAATACCTTTTTATTAGAAATGTACACTAATTTCGCAAAAATTTTAACTGCGAAATTCACTAATATCACTCAAACGAACGCTTTTTACACACATTCTAGTCTGCGAAGCAGTTGAAAAGAACATAGAAAATCGCTCAGAGCTGTATTTTAAATGCCTCTTTTCGGTAAATAATAAAGGTATTTAAGATACCGAAAATACATTGGTGAAGGAAAAAATAGCTTTTTTAAACTATATATGTTATAAATAGAACGACCAATACTGCGAAGTAAGCATAAAATAAGGTAATTTTACTTTATTGTATCATTAGTTTTAAATGGAAATATGAAATTTTTATTGTTACAGTTAAACAATGAAGTAGCTACCAGGATATATTATTATTTCAGCGCATTTTATCGAAATTAGAAAACAACGCCAAGATTCAGTAATATATGATATCCTTTGAACTATATTTAAAATAATTTTTAGTAGAAATAATTTTGATAACTTCAGTTCGTTAACAGTTTTTACATTCAACGCCAAGAATGATAAAATTCAAGATTACGACAAATATTTACCTTTACCATTACTTTGCAGTTTAGGATATACAATTGTTACGAAACCAAATTTCACTATACCGGGATCTTATAACGTAATTCTTTTGAGATGAGAATGAGAGTCAAAGAACAGCAATTCTTGAAATATTCTTCGTTTATTAGTTATAGTGAAAAAGTTTTAGTAAAATGAATAAGATAATATTGGGGCATTTTAATATTTATACATTTATCTATGGCAAACTAATTGCCAGTTAAGGAGTATTTTGTTAGTACATATCTAAATAGAAAAATAAGTTGTAACGAAACAAGAAAAAATCCTTCGTTCAATAACTAGACAATATTATTTCAAAAACGTGTACACAATACGAACTAAGTCGGTCGATAACTTTTCGAGAAATCGTGTCCACCGAAAAAACACAGTTTCGAGAAAAACGCGTTTAAAGACAGGGCACTTAGCGGAGCAAGCCTTGAGTGTATCTCCGAAATTATTACTCAGATAAACTTTAAAATTTAGTTATATATTGTAGAATTTAATAAAGCAAATAAAAAAAATCGATTTTTGGAAATATTCAACCCACCTAACCCCTTAAATGAATGGTTGAAAGGGATTCTGATTGCCATCGTTTGTGTTTATTTGAATTTATAAGTATAAAATATATTGATTTTGAAAAATGAAATGTCCGGTGGCGAGTTGCAATAACTATTAAGCTATTGAAGAAAAAAACTGTATTTTAAAAAAGTATTGTCTTTTGTAGGCGTACCCATGCATCCGAATAGAGATCACATCGCCTCAAAAGCACTCAGAAGGGTAATGAAATTTATCAGTGTGCTGAATAAAAATATGTACATATATCGTTTGTATCTTCTATCTAGCAATAACCTGTATAAACTACTATTGTATTTTGTATTTCTTTGTAGAGCTTAGTTACGATAATTATAGGTTTCCAAATAGTGGTGTTTTGT